TGAATGTGTTCAAAATGGTATTCTTCCATTCTTCTTCCATTATGTTGAGGTCTACCACACTTTCTGTGTCAGAAAAGCATATCAGTGGGGCTGGAAAACTGTGCCAGGTCTATTTAGGTTTGAAGACAGTCTTGCATGTCCTCACCCCGATACAAGACATTTAGATACAGTTATTCAAAGAGAAGATGGGGCAACTTCAGTCCTTTCAGACCCATCACCTCACATGTCTCTTCTCTCCACCCCCAGCATCTTTTGGTACTTTCCATTCTCTCCTAAATCTCTCTCTCCCCATGCCCCATTCCTTGTGCTACAAAACTGACTCTACCTCCTTGCCAAACCATCATGATGCTTCTCAGTCTTTTTTCTCTCTTCCAAATACCTTTCCTTTCTTCTTCTGCCTGCATTTTTGTATTTCTAAGCTGTGTATGTGCTCTTGATCTCTCCCTTGTTAGACTTCTTCCCTATTCTTCCTTACTTGCAGTGAGCTACCACCAGATTGCTTGGAAAGTGCTATAATTTTTCATGGATATATCTGCTGTCACTGCCTGTTGAGTTGGCCGAAATCATCCTCCACCACTCTTGTTCCTTCCCTGAGAAACATTCAGCTTGAGACACTGAATTTGTTATTGTAGAACTTAATTCGAGAAAATTAGACAGATTGATTTTAAGCATTGCAAAACTGTCAGCATAAAGGCAAAATAGCCACATCTGCATAGGACCCTGGGGAAACATGAATTACCAGTTAAAGATGTGGTATTAAAGCATATGAGGTTTTGGTTTTCCTTTTTGTCTAGGTGTCTTCTGTGTAAAGAAGACTCTTTGTTTTTCATAAATTTTACTGTTAAGGTGCTGTTGGATTGTATATTCCCCTCCTTCTTGCTGTTCAGCATGCTAGAGCACTGACAACTGCAAAACATTTAATCTGATCCCTAAAAAGAGTTTATGGCATTGCAGGACGGGAAGCCAGTTTTCTGTGTCTTCAGCTGAATGAAGTCCAGGCACTAACTGGATAGTAGAAGAGGTGTAAATAAATAAAGCTTACTTTTCCCTCTTTGATCTTGCAAGGAAATTTTTATTATTGCAGTCAATATTAGAAGTGTACTTGCCTGTCTTACCACCCTATAATAACAGTGTATTTATCTTGCAGTAATTACATTGGAAGCTGAAATGGTCTTAAAGTAATTAAGCCTTATTCTTCTACAATTAGCTAATTAGTGTCTTCTCAATGTCCTGAAAAAGCAGTCTTTATTTCCTGGAGTGCTGTGTGCTCAAACTACAGTTTGAGCAAATTTTCTGTTGCTACAGGAATTCCAGTCCTTTCCTGTGGAATAAAACTGCATTCATTTGGGCCCTTCTCTGGTTGTATGGTGTGTGACAAAATGTGTGCAAAGAGATGCTGCCCATCAGATGGCGTTTGCGTATTACATCCCTGCTGTGTTTATCCTCCCTGAAATAATCAACAAGAGAATTAGCCATTATGTTTTGATCGGTTGTGGGATTAGTAAATTTGTATCCCAACTGTATGTTGTTAAAAAGAAATGGTTCTGTTCTATAGAAAAGTAGATTAATCTAACGATCATTTTGTCATTTTGGGTGCTAGAGCTTCTTGTGTGTCTCTGAAAACGTGAGCTGAAACCCCATTCTTTCCTTGATGAATTTGAAAGAGAATGACTGCAAGCATTACAACTGTACAAGCACAAAGTATCAGGATTAGATAACTTGTGATACAAATGCTAAAGGAATATATATTTTTTAAACAACTTACTAGTTTTCAAATGTGCTTAACTTACCTTTATATTATCTTTACTCAGTAATTTATGTTAGCTTAATAGAAAATTGTATGTGAAGATGCAACTCAAGTGTTTGATGGCAAGAATGAACTACTAGAATTTAGTAACACTGATTTCTAATACTAATTATATTTGCAAAAGTATGAATATGCAAAATAAATCTGAGATAAGCATAAAAAGGTAATGTCCTCTTCACTTTTGTTTTATTACAGTCAGAGACTAGAAATGAAAGCCCAAGTTGCAGATGCATTCATAGCAAAATTCCAACTGACACCGGATGAAATGAACCTCCTTCGAGGCACGAAAGATGAGCCAATTACTGAGGTAGCTCAATGAACATTAAAAGCTTTGCCCTGAACTAAAATGTAGAAGCATCCTGGCTGAATTGTACATGAGATCTTATTATCAGTTTGTAATTTAATTTTTTATGGAGGAATGTACCTTTTAACAGAATGGTGAATTTCTGATGAGTTTGAAACGTGTGATGAAAATTCAAGTAACAAGAAAGAAAATCAACATTAAACAATTTAAGGGCCAAGTGAGATATCGTGTGGTTCTACACTTCAGAAAGACCTTTATGAAGGCTGAATTTTCAGTGAAGATGTTTCAAAGCTTCATCACACTCAAATAAAGCAAATGAGAAATTTGTAGTGCTTCAGTAATATGTAGTACTATGCTTGTGCATGTGTGTGCATTCTGCATGTGCATGTACATAGGTATTCAGTGACTTGAAACAATATAAGCAAAGACTTTCCTTCATTATTATGTGGTTGATGAAGATATTAGCTGCTGACTCACTTTTAGCCACCTTCCAAAACAAGTTTTTATGGTTTGAATGAGAAGGCACATTGTTCTGCAGTAAAAGCAAACTGAATAATGAGAGAACTGAGTACACTTAATGGATTTTTATTATTGTAGTTGCATAGAAACCTTCACTTAAATGTAGACTACCTGCTGAGACATACTATCTCGTTTCCACAGGCATCCTGTTTGCAGTTAAAACATTATTAAAGACATGGAACAGATAACCATAAACAGTGCTAATGAAAGCATAAATGGATTGTGTTGAATGATTGTGCACTTGAGTAATTGCTGTATGCTTTTGTACCAACTATTACCGTGGAAGCGTGTTGAGGTTTCTAAAGAGCACATGTTGCAGGGAACAATGACAGCAATGCTGTGCCATTTTTTCAGTGCTTGGTTTACACCAGAAGAAGGGTTAGTCCTTTTGCTACTTTGACCTGTCTGAAAAATGTGCAGAAGTAACTGAGATATAATCATAGTTGTGCTATTGAAATGGCAGACTTCAGTAAAATCGTGTGTGTGCTTTTCCCTTATGGTAGAATCGTGCTTAAAATATTTTTAGTCAGGCTACTGTATCGGCAATTTTTTAATGTTGTGGTTTTTTCCCTTAAGGAAGAGTGATTGGGGTTTTAATAAACATCATCTTCAACACAGTTGATGCAAGGCAGTAGGTTAAATCAGTGTCCTACTTCTCTTAGAATATGTATACTTTTATGTGACTTGAGACAGAATGAAACTACTTTCCTGAGGCAAACTGTATTCAGGTCACAAAAAATGTAACAAACAGTTATACCTGAATTAGCTAGTTTCCTCCATGATATTTGAAAGATAACTTCATGATAAGACACATGGTTGAAAATGTTCGTGGATTTCCATTTCTCTCTAAAACAGTACCAAAATAACCTTTTTGGCCACATGTCCATGTCTTCTAGGGTTTTTTTTCCTTCACTCTGCTGCTGAGTTATTCAGGGCGGAAAGGTTGTCCTGGAAAACAATCTAGCCTATTGCAAATGTTTGATTTTTTGTAGAAATTGTTACCCCATTATATGAAAACAAGAAATATCAACCTGTCATTATTGTACTTCATAATGTTTCAGTTTGCTCTTCAGTTGGTAAAATTAATGGGGAGAAGATGATGGAATACACAGTAATGTCCTCAAAATCTCCCCGAAGTATTAACTAATAAATGCAAAAGACACACATCCTACATAAAAAAAACAGGTTAAAAACACATTATTGCTGCTATTAATTTTTTTTTTAATGGAAGAAAGGCATGATGCAATGGGAAAGAAAACATCCTAAGGCTCTTAAGGTGGAATGAAAGGTGGCAGAGGCGGGGGCTTGTATTTTAAAAGTAGCACTTGGAACACAGACCTGCAAGGAACACAAGTAGGGAATTGAAATGGGGACTATAGAGTGCTAAAGATTTCAATGAGAAATTACTGCTTTTAAACACTGCTTTTATATATTTATTTATTTTTAAATTTATTTAGGATTTTTTCAAGGCTTTGGGAAGAGTAAAGCAAATTCACGATGATGTCAAGATTCTCCTCCGGACAAATCAGCAACGGGCAGGGTGAGTGCTACTTAAATGAGTGCAAGATAACCATTTACTAATTAAAAGCAGAAGTTACAGCAAGGTCTCATTCTCTACTTTATATGACTATACAGAGTATTTCACAAAAAAACAAATAGTAGTAACATATTTTTAAGTTTTCATCATTTTAATAATGGTGTGTTTTATTTGATTTATACATGCCTTTGCTAGTACTACCTAAAATAGTATTTGCAAATAAAATCTTTCTGTCTTGTAGCTTGGAAATTATGGAACAGATGGCTTTACTGCAAGAGACTTCTTATGAACGACTTTACAGATGGACTCAAAGTAGGACTGAGAATGTTTTTATGTTTATGAATCTTATTATGACGATTCCTTTAAATTCCTTGATGTGGATTGAACTCGGCAAAAACCTTTTCCAAGATTCATTAACAAGGCTTTATGTTTCCTTCTTAGTGAAAGATTTGTTATGAACCAAATAGTTAGTTGGAGATTCCCTCCTTCTTTGGGGCAATCTCATCTCTGTAAAAGTATATTATTTGTGGTTTTAGCTGGTTTTCCACAGAGAACAACAACTACAGTTTGGTAGTCTAAGCAAATTGTTGAAGTGTATTGCATTTCATTTTCTTGAAGGTTACAGGGAAGTTGTTTTTGACAATTTGTTAGTAAGATCTAGTTTAGTGAGAGGAGTGGTTTACTACCTTTAAAAAAGGAAAAAAAATCCAACCTTATTTTATCGGAATGCTCTCTTGACTGATGAATGATTATTTTTCTGCATATGTACTCTGGATGCAAGCGTCAGTGTTCGATGTAACATCTTGATAGTGTAAAATGTAGATGCTTTTTTATTATTTCTCTCTTCTCCGAAGACATTGACGGGAAGATTTGTGCAAAAAGCTGGTGCCATTCAGTATTATATTCATTAGCTGTTCCTCAGTGGATGCTGAAACGTCAAATAATAGTTGAGGGTTCACCTTAATGAAAATGCATAATTTTTATGCCGTTGTTTGATTTAGTTTATGTGATTTCCACTTCCTCGCATGGAATATACAAGATTATATAGTTAATGTGATTAAAGTTAAAAAAACCACCACCAAACAACAAAACAAACAAATGCAGTAAACAGTCATGAAGGAGCCTGACAGAATTCTGATGGTTGAATGATTTAACATTTGTACATGGGCACAAACAGATACTAAGCTTCCTTTGATTTTTATTATTGTTAAAATTTGTAATGAGCATCCATTTTACAGTGAAGTACTGCTTATGGGGGAATTTAATTACATTAACACAAACTAGGACAGGTAGCATATTCTGAAGGCATCAATTCAAAATCAAAAATCTTTGAGTTTTTAACTCATTTTCATGTTTGACAGCTTGTTATAAAAGGTATTACAGTGAAAATAATGAGCTTTTATCTGTGTTGATATTTTTATAGATGAATGCAGGACTTTGACACAAGAATCATGTGACATTTCACCAGTTCTTGCACAAGCCATGGAAGCTTTACAAGATAGACCTGTCCTGTATAAGTAAGTAAATGTCTGTGATGGTTTCTTAACAGAAATGAGTATTTCCAGCCTATAAAATTTGAAGATGGGCATGAATTACTGTGCCAAGGATGGTGGCAATTTAGTCCTGTGTCAGATTTAAAAAAAAATAAATACAAAAAATCATATTTCAACTTCTTTAAATTTCAGAAGTCTTTTTGTCATAATTATGGTACAGTAAATGACATTGGACTTTTTCCAACTTACTGGTTTCTAATTAAAGTAAAATAAAAGCAGTCTGACATTTTAATCTAAATGAATTGTCAGTTTCTGCTGCTCTCATTGTAGGGTTTTTCTGAAGAAAAAAATGCTGTCCAAAGGATGTGATTGTCTCATTTAAATTCCTAAAGTAAAAAATGGATTAATTAGCTTTTACTGAAGTGCTTCTGGTAATAAGAATGTCTTTCTTCATGAGTTGTACAGTAATCTATTAAAAACAATCTAGTACATATGGGCCTCTAAAGTGTAGGGGTATTTTTTTATATATATATATCTATAGAGATAAAAATAATATACTACTGTTTAGTTCTTGTTCAGAATTGTCTGAAGGGACTTCTTAATGTAAATGAAACGGCACTTAGTAGAGACAACATAACCACGAGGTGGCACTGTAAGAACTGTTTTTATTGGAGTGACCATACCTGAAGAGGTGGTATTTCTATTTCTTTGCTTTTTAGGGTTTGTGGTGGTTTGGGGTTTTTTTGGGGTTTTTTTGTGTTTTTTTTTTTTTTAAATGCATTCATCACATTTTGCAACTATTGCAAATTACTTTTAGCCACAGGCATCCATGACAGCAGAGTACTAGGCAATCTTTCAAAGGCTAGCTTTGTCTTTAAGAGTGTCAAATGTGTGAAGGTGTACATTATGTAACTAAATCTCCATGGAGAGCTTTTCACGGGGAAAATGCATAGTGCAAGTGGACCTTAAAAATTCTGTCAGTATCAGAGAGAGTGCACATCTTGACATGCTCAGTCAGTTCTGTTAGTTAATGTAAGGGAGAGGTGGTATCACTCGACCTCCCCAGCTATTGCGTGTGCTGCGTTGCAGTACATCTGGCCATAGCTGGGGATTGCAGTCCTTTCTTGCATTCTCTCCTCCAGGCCCTCTTTCACAGCTGCAGAGGATCAGTCACATCTGTGTTCACAACATTTTATAGGATTCTTCATAGATACAGTTTATATTTTCTGTAATAAATATTTTGTTAAATTATGTTACTTTTGAACTTCATGGTACCATTGTTTTGCTTTCTTAACACTTACGAAAAAAAATGCCATCTTCTGTATAAATCTGCAGCTGGCCAATTTAAAATGAATCTGAAAAATAGACTTTATTTTTCTTCTGACATCTTTCTCACAAAGAGCAGTACTAGTATTACTAAGGGTAGAACTTGGTAGGTAGGACTTTTCTTCTACCTAAAAGGCAAAAGTAAATGTTACTGTAGAAGATGCAGCCATATGTCTCTCATCAGAGATTATCACGCTTAATTACTTGCTATAGCAGTAGTGTCAAAATGGCAGTACTGATGCTTTACATTTTAAATCTCAAGATTTAGTTTATTCCCTCCCAAAAAATTCTGTATAACTTTAGTACATAACAAAATGATGAGTTCAACATGTAAAAATTATGTCATGGAAGAAAGTAATTTTAAATTGTTGTTGGTTTTATGCATATAAGCACTGCTGTGTGAACTAAACATTCCTCCAAATCACTGCCCTTGCATCTGATAAAGATTGTGATTTGATTGGGTGACAGTGGGTAAGATGGAGAAAGGCAGGAGTTTAGAAACAAAACTACAAATTCTTGTTTTCTTCTATTGACTTATGTCTTGTTAACTGAAGGTGGTGGAAAGATTACACCATGGATGGACTTCTGGGAACTGCAGTCAGTAGGGATCTGAAATAAACATTTCAGTGTGGTTTTCACTTCCTGGCTCTAATAGAAAAATTGAAAATTGTTTCGTAGGAAATATATGGAGTCATAGCTCAAAGCGGTGTTCCTCTTCCATCATGCACTCTGGTTTTCAAAGCTTTTTCTCCATCTCCTTCCTCTCCCTCCAGCAATCATCACTTTACTGTGGTTTTTAAAAATTTAAGCTGGGTTGAAAAGAACCCAAATGTTGTTTTCTTCCCCTAACGTGAGTACCTGTAAAAACATAGTAGTAAATACTGTGTTTCTAGTGTAAATAATAGTTATTACTGAATTTTTTAAGATGCAGGATTTTGTTAAGTTATACCCTGTTCTACTGAGAGCAAAAGGAAAATTAGTAGTTTTCTTTTTCTTTTAAAAAACAAAATTCTCATCATTAAATGCTGTTTTGAAAACTAGTAAGAAGATCACAAGAACTGTTTCACTGCTGTGTTTTTAACAATCCATTATAGAGCTGTTTATTGGAGGTGGGGGAAGCTTAGCTGGTTTCTACAAACACTTGGGATTTTTCACTGTAACACTGCTACTCCTGGACTGTGGACTGGCAGATCCCAGATCCCTCCCACTTTTAATTGTATAAATTTTGTAAATACTAACTTATTAAAGACTTTTTTCATTAGACTTTTTTTATAAAAAATTGCAGATACTACTCTCTGAGTTAACAAGTACAGTGTATGAAGAAAAAGATTTAAAGAGAAATTTCCAGATTCTTCAACGTGCTTTTTTCCCCCCCTCTCAAATAGTAATGTAGATTGAAAAGAGCAAAACTGAAGGTTCCCTTGGACTTTTTATAGCATAATAGAAATCTAACCCAACTTAGAACTGGAACTATATTTGAAACAGTATATTATTTTATTTTGTATTTTGTTCCCCACATCTGTTAAATGAGTACTGCATTCACAATTAACTTCAGTCAGAGAGTTACATGCTTTTTATTATTATTTTTATATCTGTTCAGCTGCTGGGTGTCATTGGTAAGTGATACCATGCTTACTCATTGGCCTTTTTTCAATTATATTGGAAAAATAAACTGTCATGTGTATTTTCTTTTTCTCCTTTGTAATTTATACATTTTGTTCAAAATGGTTAAATGTTTTGGGTTTTGTTTTTTGTTTTGTTTTGTGGGTTTTTTCCCCCAAGAAAATAGAAGTGTTACGTGGCTTGCAAAAATCTTGTTTCTAAGCAGATGTAACAGGGATGTTAGCAATGTTCATTTGCTGTCCTTCACTTCCTATTGTTCTTCAGTCCCAGCATGAAGGTAACCTGCTCCAAAAATGAGCCGTGTGTATGTTCTTGGTACCTCCTGTACTACCAGCAAGTCATTTGAAATTATGCACTCTGGGATGTAATTGTCCATCCATTAAATATCTAACTAAGACTCACTTGATTAAAACTAGTGAACAACTATCAAATGAAAATAACTTTTTTGCTACTAATCATGTAGTAGCCTAGAAGGAGGACAAAGCCTTGTGTTGCAGTGCAGTAAGTTGCTGCTTCTGTCAGTCAGCTGGACCATATATGAACAGAAGTCCTAGACCTGTCAATACATGCTTATACATACAAAAATGGAAAAGCTGATTTTTCATTTATTTATTTGTGTGGAGTAAAGCCATGTGAGGGTCAAGGAAAAGTTATTTTTGGTATATGTTTAGAGGAGTGTCCTGGTTTTGTCTGGGATAGAGTTAATTTTCTTCCTAATAGCTGGTATAGTGCTGTGGTTTGGGTTTTGGATGAGAATAATGTTGATAACACACTGATGTTTCGGTTGTTGCTGAACAGTATTTACACTAAGTCAAGGACTTTTCAGCTTCTCATACTGCCTTACCAGTGGGGAGTGGGATGTGCACAAGAAGCTGGGAGGGGACACAGCCAGGACAGCTGACCCCAACTGGCCAAGGGCATATTCAATACCATATGATGTCATGCTCAGCATATAAACTAGGGGGAAAGTTGGCCGGGGGCCACTGTTTGGGAACTGGCTGGGCATCGGTCGGTGGGTGGTGAGCAATTGCGTTGTGCATCAGTTATTTTGTATATTCTATTATTATTAGTGTTACTTCCCCCCCCCCGCTTTCTGCCCTATTAAACTGTCTTTATCTCAACCCATAAATTTTACTTTTTTTTTTTTTTTTCCTCCCTCTTGATCCTCTTCCCCCATCCCACTGGGACAGCAAACAAGGAGTCAAGAAAATCAGACTGTTTTGAACGCTTCATAGCAGAAGCATTGATGCAAAATTTCTAGAACTATAAAAATGGTTACTTATATTAATTGTAAACGAGCTAGTAAACTGTGATGAGGTGAACTGTTTTGTTGTACCCATTTTCATGTTTCAATAACAGGTACACGTTGGATGAATTTGGAACAGCTAGAAGGAGTGCTGTAGTCCGTGGCTTTATAGATGCTCTTACTAGAGGAGGTCTGGGAGGTACTCCCCGCCCTATTGAAATGCACTCCCACGATCCTCTGAGGTACAGTACTAGCAAGAATGTATATGAAGTAATCCTTCTTTTGCCTGTTGGCACACTGAATCCCTGATACCATAAACTACTGATCTACACAGAAATTTCTGTCTTTATTTAGGTACGTAGGAGACATGCTGGCCTGGTTGCATCAAGCTACAGCTTCTGAAAAAGAACACCTAGAAGCTATGTTAAAGCTTGTAACTATTCAAGGTAGTATTAAAATCAAGATTTTAAAACATAAATTTTTAAATGATAGAAATGATAGAAAGTAAGTCTGTGATTATGTCAGAAAGTGTGATTAATTTCTTAGGTTGGGCTTCAGTTATGAGAGTTTGAGCTTAGATTTTCCTGGAAATAATTTCAGAATAGCTGGTGGTTGCATTTTGACAGAAGAGAGCCCTTAACAAATAAGAGTATTTCAAAATGCACTCTTTTCATTTTACTGTGCTTATGATAGATTTACACTAAATTTACAAAGGGACATTTTAGACTGTGGTTGAGTTCAAAAATTGTCTGTAATGTATATGAATACATACGTGTCTGAAAACATTATCATAGGGTTGCTTATTGAGAATTCCTGTTACGCCTTGCTCATTTGTTTAGTAAATTTTAAAAATATAATTCCTTCTTCCTGTAATTCTCTTCCTTCTGTTCTACATGTAAAATGGAATTTTCTTCTGTCATGTTATTGACAGAATAGATAGAATAACCTATAATTCTACTTTTACAGAGGTCAAAGTAGGCCCCTCATAGATATGTGAAGCTTTTTAGTATCAGAGTTTTCCTTCATTAACAGAACTACAGATTCTCATGCTTATTCTTCATCCCCTTTGCTCTGTTTTAAGTACTTTGGACCTAAACTTCGAAGACCTTTATCCTCTAGAAGCTGTAGTATGATTTGCCTCCATAGCTTCAGCCAAGGACTTGTTTAATAAAGCATGTATACTCAGTTGTAACAAACTCATAAGAACTTGTATTTGATCTGTATCTGTATCTGAGCTCTTCAGACTGTACATCTTCATTAAGTCCTGCTCTGGGATTTAAAGTGAATATGCATTCTCTTTACTGCTGGAAGTATTAATTGGCTTTCCTAATTAACAGTATATGAGCAAGGAGGCTGTTTAGGAACTGTTGTAAATCAAACTGAAGGAATGTTGTTTTTTAACTACAGTTACAGTGTACTATAGAAGTAAATTTGATATTATTTGCTGACAGTATCTCAGGGAGACAGGAAGGCAGGCCTCATGATGGTTTTATGGTAGAGAAAAAGACATGGCAATCTTTGTAGATGACTGCCGGATGCTTCTGTTACAACTGGGGAGTCCTTCAGGAAAAGCTGGCCTCATGGAGGATGTCTGGTTCTGCTGTAGACTGGGCTACTGCTGCTGCCCAGGTCTGCATTCTGTTCTGAAATTCTCACACCTCTTTGTGCAGTGTTTTATTTAACTATTAAATCCTTAGGCCTTCTGGCAGGACATCAGACTGAGATGCTATGACCACATAATTAGATACATTTAGAGCATTTCAGCCATAGATCAGAGTAAATGACTTGAGAATACAGAGACTATAAATGTTTTGGGGAAAAATTTTCCGAAAAAATCACCAGGCCAAACCATTTTTTCCCCCAAGAGACTAGTGTAAACAAAAGATGCAGTATTTCTGTCTGAAGCAAAAATATGTTTTCCTAAGCTCTCCAGGAATGGGTTTGCCATCGCTGCTGTACAGTTTTCAAGAAATGAAAAGAGGGATTTTTAGTTTCATACTGGGAGCAACAAAGCCTGGGAGGCACTGTCCGTTAACTGTTCCTCTGCATCTCTGGGAAATTTTTGTTATTAAAAGGATGGTTATGCGGTGAGATCTGTAAGACAAAACAGTACTTAATGGGATACTGCTGGGTTTAACAAGAACCATTTATGGGAAATGCAGCCTTATGAAACACCTTGAGATTATATGCTTGATAGTGGCTAATCAGTGAGTACAGTGTCTGCGGTACTGAGAGATTCAAGTTGAATTCCCTGTGCTGCCGTACAGTCTTCAGGTGTCTGGTTGCGCAGGCAGAGATTGAGTTAATTTCCTTTAGCTGTTTAAAAAGTGGACATCTTGTTTATTTGCAGTTACAGATAATGACATAGATTTGCATCTCCAGAGGGCAAATCTTCGCAACAAATGTTAGATCTAATGTAGGCATTTCCGGAGACTTTAATTACAGCTGTTTGTTTGGGTTTTTTTCCATTCCCTATAGAGGGAGCCCAAGTAACTGCTATAGATAAGACACTTAAACTAGGTTTCTAAAGTTAGGTCAGTCAATGTTTTAACTTTAATTTCAACTGGAGTAACTTTTTGCTGATGGAACTCGGTTTATTATTTTAATTCAGGCATCCTGTTCTGAGTTCAGATTTCTGTTTAAATTCTCCTATAAGCTTTGTGTAATTTCAGGACTATGGAGAAATTTCAGGACTATGTGGAAAATCAGCTACACAAAAACTTCTCTCCTTAAAAAAAAAAAAAGCTCATAGCTATGGGTGAGATAGAGGTGGATTTGGTCCCAGTGGAAGACAAATGGTGTGAATGCCACATTTTTGGAGAAACATTCCCATCCCAGTTTTTACTTAAAAGAGAAAAAACTATGTAGCCCATAATCACATATTTGAGAATAACTTTTAAAAAGTTTTAAAATTTTAAACTTGCAAATGTTAACTGTTTAAAATTAATGTGACCAAAAATGCTATTAAAATTTTAAGCACTAAAAACATTCAGAAAAGTTCAACTATTTTGCTGGACAAGCATAAAACATCCGGTTCTTTTCTTTGGAGCTTAGGTATTCTGCTAACAGCAGCCTTCCAGTTTTACAGAGATCTTGCACTTGAAAGGAAGGGAGGATTGCAGGCATTCTGTTTAAGAGGTGCAGTAGAAACCCATTTTTCATGGAGTTACAGGAACCCAGCTGGAGAGCAGGAGCCAAACAAAGCCCAAGAAAGATCTCTCCCTTACAGAAGGATACACAGAGAAAAGTGATGTGTGGTGTAGCAGGCAGCCAGAAGTGTATCTTCATTAATGAACTGTTTTCTAAAAGTGATTTTGGGTCTCTAAGAATTGTTCATTCCATAATTCTTTTATGCCAGTGTGATATACTAATACTTGCAACAGTTATATAACCCATTGTGCTGGAAGATTTCTTTTTACTGTTTGCTGAATCTAAAATATTCTAATTGGACATGAAAATATAAGGGAAGGCACAAGCATGCAATATGTCAAGATTGCAGTTTAATGTCCTTTGGTATTTGAACCTGTATATTTCTGCAGCTAAAACTTGCATACCCAACAACTTGTTGTTAAGTCAGTCTGGTCTAGCTACACTATTGCAAGTATGTGCTAGGTGCTTGTTATATTGATGAACAGTAAAAGCGTGACTGTTCCTACTAAAAAATGTGTAAATTGTTAGGGTCTATCTGGGAGCTAGCTGTTACATAACAGACCATACATCTTGTGGTTTGCAATCTTGCTTTTTTCCTTGATGTCAATACTCAAATATATAAACACATTTTTATTATTTTACCAATTTAGTATGCTGAAATTCTTACAGCCACCAAACTGAATTCAGTTGTTTCTGTTTATGTGGCTTTTCGCTTATCTTGGTGTAAAGAGATATTGGCAGAGATCTCTGATCTTTTATAATTTTTACTCTCAGAGGTAATATCTTCTAGTCTGAAATAACATCTGCAAAATATAGCTTCAGGTCACCTGATTTCTATCACATGTCAAAGTCAGTTTGTTTACTGTTCATTGCATGGGTCCCATCTGAAGATGAACTCCTGTTGACAAGTTTTAAATTAGAATTAAAGTATTGCTTTCTCCATATATCTATTCTGAGTTGTTACTGAAGTGAGAGCTTGAAGATCTGTTGCTTTCAGTTTGATTGATTTATGACAGTACTGGTTGCCATGCAACAATTCATTTGTGTTCATGGTAAGATAGGGCAATATTCTTTTTTGTATATAGTTCTGTGAAAGATGAATTTCAGTTGCTGCTAGGGAGGAAGCATTTGCTAATGCTGCAGCACACAGCACCGTGGAGGTACATATGTGATTTAATTTGTAACAATGCCACGAGCATGTCAGTACCGAATGCTGACAGACACGTGTATTTATGGTTCAGACCTTTCAAAACGGTATGTACTGTTGCTCCTTGAGCATCTCACTGGCCTTTTTTTCACTGTTTAATTTCATGAAATGCTAATCTTGAGCCTTACTATAACAGTTCCTTGCTAGATCATTTATTCTTCCCCTTGCTCCTTCTCCCTCAAATCCCCAGGCACTATGTTGTGCTAGGAAGCAATTGCATAGCATAAGGTAATGACTCTCCAGGACTCTGTTTTGTCATGCAGCTATTTCTTAATGGCGGGATTTGAAGTTCAGTGAAGGTGTAAACTAGTCTTGTGGAGAAAAGAATATGCAGTTCCTAATGCTTTTTATGGAGGAGTAGCTTCTATATTTGTTTATTTGTTTTATAGTCTTGAAGAAAAGAGAATAACATTTGCATAATCTTAGCATGTGTTTGCATTAACTATAGGTGTGGAAGAAAATATACAAGAAGTAGTTGGGCACATCACAGAAGGTGTCTGCAGGCCTCTGAAGGTGAAGTATTGTGTTTTCTTTAGCTTTCTAAATATAAAAATTGTTCTGTCATGTTTTTCCAGAACCTGTGTCCCTATCTGTACAATGTATTTTTATTGCCCTTGGCTAAGAGTTAGATTCTCAACTTTGAGAATCATAAAACTCTGGTTTAAATAGTCATATAGTGAGAGATATTGGGGTACTAAATCTGTATTTTTATTTTTGTCTTACTTTTCCTAATTTCAGGAATGCTTATGTACAAAAATTTAGCTTTGGGATAAGTACATAGGAATGGCAGTAGTGGGTCAAATGAAAAATCAATTTAATCTACTACCCTGTTTTTCATAGTGACCATTAGCGTATGCTCAGAGAAGAGTGTACAGGTTATGCAGTTGTGTCATGATACTTCTGTAGAAAAGTTTTCTTGTCTGTTCGTGGATGTACAAAGGACTTACTGAGCCGTAGCTACTGTCTTGGTATTTGATAGACCTTGATAGATTTTTCTTGCATGAATATATCAAATTGATATAAAATGTTGGTATTCACAACATATCCTTCAAGAGGGAAGCTCTTGTATTGAAAGAGACCATGAAAAATTGTTTCCTACACCATCTTTACACTACCCTGATCTGATGTATTTGTCGCATCCCTCCACACTTGTCTTTCTTCAAGCTACAGCCTTAGTCGGTTTAGGGGACCCATTTGATAGAAATCATTAATAATGATCTGTCACATCATTGACTGTCTTATTTATGGGATGTGCTTCACATAAGCATGAAATAAAATAATCAAGTTGATGAAGCTGGTACCAGTAATTGCCTGACCGTGCAGTGTATAAATCCAGGTGTTTTTAAAGTAAAATCTACTGTACTAAACACTTTTGTAATAAATTCCTTTAGGATGCTGTAGCTATAACAACTGTGTCCAGTTGCCAGATACTTAGTCTCAAATGTTAACAGATGGGTTCTAAATACTATACATAAGTTCCTGATAAAAAAATGATAAGGTGTGAAGAGAGGTGAAAATCAAGAAAGTGCCATTTAGAATGTCACAGAATCATAGAAGGGTTGAGGTTGCCAGGGACCTCTGGAGGTCATCTGGCCCAAACTCCCTGCTCAAGCCAGGCTGCCTAGAGCTGGTAGCCCAGGATTATGCCCAGATGGCTTTTGAATATCTCCAAGGATGGAGACTCCACAGCCTCTCTGGGCAACTTATGCCAGTGCTCCGTCACCCTCATAGTAAAAAAAATGTTGCCTGATGTTCAGACAGAACCTCCTGTGTTTCAGTTTGTGCCTGTTGCCATAAAAATGTGATCATCCTTCACGGCCTTTAGGTTTTGACCTGTTGAAAAACACCTATCATGTTAGACAAACAAAAACTATTGTCATAGCTTTTTTTTTTTTTTTTTTAAGATATTTTCCAAACTTTCTTTGTTGTTTTGTTCTGATAATACTGAATGCTGATGTTTAAGTTCAGTATTTCTGTGCATTCCAACAAAGCAATTAGGGATAGAATCAAACCTTTGTGTAAGTCAAAGGGAGTTTTGGTCTTGATTCGCGTACTTATGATTTGTACAGTTTGGTACAGGATGCTTTCCATTTTGATTGCCAATCATATGTGCTTCTGCTATCTGTAGGTATATCTCCCGAAATACTGTCTGTAGTTAGTTACTGTGCTAATAAAAATGAAAAAAATACTAAAAGAACAAATAAAGACTTCCCATCGTATTCTGTATTTTGATAGAATTCAACTTATGTTAATTTGCTGCCAGTCTAGACTTCTCAATGTAAAATATGCAGTACTTATTGTTTCCCTTAAGGAAATCTTCCTTAAAAAAAAAAGCAAAAAAAAGCAGAAAACCCCCAAGCAGAAAAGCCTTCATACAATGCAGTTAGATAATTGCAAGCCATGATGTTGAGAGGAACAACAAAAATAAACTCAGTTTGGGGGAGTCTATTCTACAACATGTTGTTCTTTCTGAAGATTGTCCACAATAAGAAGATCAACTGCAGTAATTTCAGGGAAAATGCTCTTTGTTGTAGTTGTGTGGCACCACAGTATATTGCTTTTCTAGTGGATTTCTGCTGATGTTTGCAAACCTGTCACTTTGGTTTGACTTGATGCTGACGTATAAAATAGTCTGATAAAAGCCTAGTCATAGAATTTCCACAAGCATTTTTAAATACTTACAGAATTATGTAGAATTTTCTTACTGGTTTATGCTTTTTCCATGTGAATGTACAATATGGTACAATTTCCTTACTTTTCAAGAGGATTATGCAGTATAAATTGTCCACATTTCTTACTGATAGTTGGTTTGAATTTTAGGCATCCAATTAAATCTTGAGTACTCACTAGTGATAGATCAGACCTCTCATTTCAGGTGATCCTACTTCAGAGGATCCTAAAAAAAAACCCATTTAAATTAACGTCCTCATCTGTTCCATAGCACTTAAGATGAGGTCAAAACTAATAAAATGGTTTTGATGCCTTACGTAGATAGACTTGGGATAGTCTTTTATAGTCAACTAACTACAGGACGCATAGGATGAAGGAACAGTAACAGCTTTAAATCCAGAACTTCCCTGAGCAGATTAGGTTAAGTCACTCGCAAATGTTGGTTCTTCTGTGCAGTGAAGGCTCCTGTATGAGAAGCAGCAATGCTGCTTTTCCTCTTTTGTTTTTTTCAATTCTCATTTTTGTTTCTTAACCCTAAAATATTTTGGTTTTTTTTCTCTCCTGCCTATTCTGTCTTTTTCTGTTTCTTAATTATTTTCTTTATTTTTAGTTATTGCTGTTTATTTTTTGGTCCTTTTTTTTTGTTTGTTTGTTTTTCCTCCTGCCTTTCTTATTCTCTTTTGCTGTACACATAGACTGTACTCAGTGTCCATACCCAAATGCCCTTTTATGCAACATTGGAGACAGGTATTGCATTGAAGAGCAAAGTTCACCTGAGCGTTGAAATTCACTTCATGCATTGAGAGTAAGAGTCAAAAATTATTCTTTGTCTTTGGTCTCTGACTTAGATGCAAAGGGAGAGGATTGAGGAAGCGTAATCTTAGTTAATTCTCCCTGTAGCTGGCTCTGACAAGAAGGCACTGCTGCACATCGTGTTCCATTGAACAGCAGACAAATAACTTGGGAGAGCGGGTGGTGGCTGGTGATTTGTGTGTAGCCCTTTCACACACTGGCATGACGAAGAACAGTGCAGTGATAAGTCACAGTCTCTCACAGCTTCATGAGTGCCCAAAGATTGACCCTGGGGCAGCCTTTAATGAGTGGATTGAGACTGTGTGTACCATGTAGACAAGACATCAACTGTCCAACTATACAGACAGTCAGCAGTGTTTTGGTCTGTGTAGCCAGTATCTCCTGGTTGAGATAAGCAGTCAATATAGCTAGTCGTTAATTATAAATGTATCTAATTAAATGCTGGTAGGAGGCCTTTAACTGAAGGACGGATTAATCAAGATGAAATTTTGTCTTTTGGGTAAAATACCTAATACTTTGGATGTTCTGAATTGCTGCATGCTTAATGATCAACTATTGTAGTTTAGGGATTTTGCAGCATTGTAGCTGTTCTTGCTCTTCAGTGCTGCGGAAAATTCCGGTATGTACTGGTATTAATCCATCAAATGATCTCATTATTTTGAAATTTTCAATAAGAAGTTGCAATAAAAATCTATAGAGAAATGGGATTTTCTTTTTTTTTTTTTGTTTTGGTTTTTTTTTTTTTTTTTTAAAGAATACATACACCTGCTTGTTCTCTACCCACAGGCTTAGCAACCAAGCACCACTCTGTTTTAAGCAGAATGTTATACATAACTGGATGGTCTCTTTTTAAATTTATTTCTGGTTAAATTTGTTTTTCAAAAATCAGACATATATAACATCATATATAAAACCATAGAGATTGGCTTTTGAAATGTATGACCTGAAGAAATATACTTTATTCTGCAGGTTAGAATTGAGCAGGTGATTGTTGCCGAGCCAGGAGCAGTTTTACTGTACAAGATTTCTAATCTTCTCAAGTTCTACCACCATACAATCAGGTATGCAAAATTACAAAGTACGTTAAAGATGCCTTTTTTTAAAATTTTATTCATAAAGATTAGTATAGTGAAAAGTGTGTTTTCGTGGCTTAGTTCTTACTTTTTACTACGGAATCAAGAATAAATACGCATGATATAGAATGGAATCACAGAATCATAGGATAGTTTGAGTTGTAAGGAACCTTTTAAAGGTCATCTAGTCCAACCCCACTGCAATGAGCAGGGACATCTTCAACTAGGTCAGGTTGCTCAGAGCCCCGTCCAACCTGGCCTTGAATGTTTCCAGGGATGGGGCATCCCCCACCTCTCTGGGCAACCTGTGCCAGTGGTTCACCACCCTCATTGTGAAAAATGTCTTCCTTATATCTAGTCAAAATTCATGCTCTTTTAGTTTAAAACCGTTAGCCCTTGTTGTATCACTACAGGCCCTGCTAAAAAGTCTGTCCCCCATCTTTGCTACAGGCCCCCTTTAAGTACTAGAAGGCTTCAATAAGGTCTCCCTGGAACCTTGTCTTTTCCGGGCTGAATAGCCCCAACTCTCTCAGCCTTTCTTCATAGGAGAGGCGTTCCATCCCTCTGATCATTTTTGTGTCCTTCCTCTGGACCCACTCCAACAGCTACATGTCTTTCCTGTGCTGAGGGCTCCAGAGCTGGATGCAGTACTCCAGGTGGGGTCTCCCCAGAGTGGAGTAGAAGGGCAGAATGACAAAATAATTATCAACCCTTTTTATGTAATCTGTTTTCTGTAACAGAAGTAGATTTATAGAATAAGAGAACAAAAATGTAGTAAATTTTACAGGTCTACTAAAAAGTTTCTATGACGCTTTAGATGTCCTGTACTTAATACCTGCTTAATGACACAGTTCATAATGCTTATTCTCAGAGTCATCTTACAAGTGAATCTCTCAGCTAACATGGAGAACTGTTCCCTGCAATTATTTGTTGTAAATTTTCAGCTTTGAAAATAACTGTATTTGAAATACTGTATGAAGTATCTGACCCTGTCATGTTTCCCCCCCCTTCTTCAGATTATTTAATTAATCTTTATTTCTTTTTTCAGTGGTATTGTAGGAAACAGTGCAGCTACACTGTTGACAACAATTGAAGAAATGCATTTGTTGAGCAAGAAGATATTCTTTAATAGTCTGAGTCTTCATGCAAGTAAACTAATGGACAAGGTTTGTTTCAAAATAATACAGCTTTCATGTTTCAAAACACACTTTCATTTCCCTTTTGGCTAGTCAGATTATTAGGTGAATAGCTGTTTTATAGGGCAACTTTTCCTAAAATGGAAGTGTTGTAGTTTCTGTATTTCAGCTATGGAACTACATAAAAAAACTTCCTGTTTCTGTTTTAATTCTTTTAATCGTTTTATTTTTTGTGAAAATATGGCTAAAATACTGTTGTTTAGGAGCATTTGTTTACAGAGCAGTTGTTGTGGTTTAGCCCCAGCCGGCAACTAAGCATCATGCAGCCGCTCACTCACTCCCCCTCCCCCACTGGGATGGGGGAGAGAATTGGGGAAAAAACCTCATGGGTTGACATAAAAACAGTTTAATAGGACAGCAAGAGAGAAAGAAACAACAATGATAACAACACTAATAATACCGACAAAGGAATGTACAAGTGATGCCCAATACAGCAATTGCTCACCACCCAGCAATCGATAGCCCGTCCCTGAGCAGCGATTTCCACCCCCCGGCCCACTCCAGTTTATGTACTGGGCATGATGTCGTATGGTAGGGAATATCCCTTTGGCCAGCCTAGGTCAGCTGTCCTGGCTGTGTCCCCTCCCAGCTCCCCCTGCACCTCCAGCCTTCCTGCTAGCAGGCCAGCACAAGAAGCTGGACTGTCCTTGACTACTTAGCAACAACTCAAAACATCAGCACATTATCAACAGTTTCTCATCCCAGATCCAAAACACAGCCTCACACTAGCTTCTGTGAAGACAACCAGCTCTATCCTGGCTGAAACCAGGACAGCAGTTTACATATTTTTTAAATCTATGAGAAGCAACAAAATTAGGAAATTTCCCTAAGTGCAATAGTGCAAAGTCAGCTGATTGAGCAAGATAATTTGTATTAATGCATCATCAGATCAGTAGTTAATTACTCATGCGCATGATTCCTTTCTTGAAGTTACGAAGTGTATCCCAAGGTGGTAAGCTAAGTAAAAACAAAACTTGAGCTTTTCTGTCTTTTATAAAAATAGTTTTACCACATGAACATTGCTGCCGTTAAAAGCAGAATATACATTTGTTATACCAAACAACTGTACCTAAGCCCACATCACTTTCCCTGGTTATCTTTTCCTTTCCCAATGACTCTTCAAATTGTGTTTCAGTGAATTTCCCATTGTTAGTAATTAATACAGTTCTTTCTAATTTCTCCTTGCTTTATTCGTATCATGTTGCTGGTGGTGGATCTACCCATTAAATGTTTTCTTTCTAAAATACAAGCAAAGTCAAAGAAAATTGTTAGGCTACACATCCCTTTCCATTTCCTAGACATCTGATCTTCGCCCAGCATCCCTTTCTGAGATGTGATGAGTCGACTAGGCCCTAAAACCAAGAAGAGGTGCCTGCCTTTATTACTAGTTATTGCACAACCCCAGAGTTCAACAAAGCTGTCACACTACTGTTTTTTCCAGTTAAAAAAACAGTTTGAAAGTGGAAAACAAACGGTGAAGTTTTGTAAATGTATTTCTAAATTATTTGTATTTAACCTACAAGAATAATGCAAAAAATATATAGATTTACAAAAACTATTCTTTGTGCAAAGCTTTGTAGCTTGCTGACCATTCAGTGGGATATTCTGAGTTTGGTCAATGTTGATCTGTGATCTCAAAGTAGTTTTCTTATTCTGCACAGCTTGTGTCTGGTCCCAATTTTCTGCCTTTCTGTAAGGGCTGAGGAATTACTTTCTCAAAGGAACAGTTATTCCTCCTCTTCTTGCAGGGACAAAATTAGAAAAGCAAAAGCCCA